AATGCTTTTTTCTATAGGGAATGATAGGAAAGAAAGGTGTTTGTAAATTATGGCTGTGAGTAATATAGAGGGGACCTCACATGTTGAGAGAAGACTTAAGGCACAAATGATAGCTATCTTTAAATATTTCATGGGTTACCATATAACAAAGGGATTTGACTTTTTTTTTAAGTCTAGCTCTCAAGGGCTAAACCTGTGATTCTCTGGAACTTGGAGGGAAAGAAATTGAGCTCAGTGAAAGGTAGAGTCTCTGCAAAATTAGAGCAGCTCAACATATAAATCATTCATTTTTGAGAAATAATCTTCTCTTTACTAGAAGTGTATAGGCAGAGGCTGAATGGCTATCTACCAGATACATTATAAAAAGGATAATTTTGTGGGGAGGGAAGTTGGACTAGAATTGGTAGTTCCCAAATTTGGCATAGTATCAGCATCACTTGCAGAACTTATTAGGAAAACACATTTTGAGAGAGATATATTTCTGCAGATCACTTCATTAAAGTATATTATTCATTCCTGCAATTGAGTAAACGATGAAAGCTTTTGCCCAGTGGAATAATGTAAATTCCACAAGGATGGGAATCTTGTTTGACTCGTTTATAAGTTGTATTCTAGTATCTGTCACAGTGCTTTAGCTCATAGTAGGTTGTCAACAAATACCTTTTAAAGAGAGAAAGCAATTATTCCATTTGTAGCTGTTTATTAATCTCTGTGACTTAAAAAGTTTATAAAATACACCGAATAAGTCTTATCTTGTTATTACTTGAATCTTTAAGCATTTTGGTCTCTTGTTGGGTTAGTTCATATATCATATTTTACAGAACAGTTTGGAAGCTTATTCTACAAAGATTTAAAGAAAAACACTTATGAGACATAGTGGATTCTGAATGTAATATTTCATATTTAAATACGTTTTATATGTATGTATATTTGACTAGTTTATTTACTAATTGAATTTGTCAGCATTGCTAAATACAAAGAAATTATTGTGATATCAAAGATGTTTTTCTCAAAAGTTCTTAATGTATTTCAAGACAAGGTTGGCATGTTCACATCAGTACTCAAGAGAAAATGCTCTGTAGCTGATTGTTCCAAACTGACTATTACCATATCAGCTCCCCAGATACAAAGGTGTCATAATTAAGGTGTACTATTTTTCAGGGTTGCCAGATCCTTAACAACAGTGGATGGAGAAGCAGGCATTTTGTTCGGACTAAAATTATGTTGATTGATTGCCCCATTCTAATCAGTGTTTTGAGGGTTGTATTGTCATTTCACTTTCGTAACTTTGAGGGCTACATTCCTTAGTAAATTGAAGCTGAGATAACGCTTACTCTTTATAGTGTTTTTGAAATACTTAAATAAGTAATCAAGGTAATTAATTATATATACTAAAACTTACTACATACCTTTGAAATACAGTAGATTTTAGAAGGCTTAATATTGAGATTGCAATAATGAATAGTGGATATATTGGCATAGGATTGTGGGATTTTTTAAAATTTATTTGTAGTTGTTTCTCATTAATACTTCATTTTACTTTGTTAGGATGAAAGTTTAAATTGCTTATCTTTAATCCTGCATTCTGCTTATAATAGAAGAAGAAACAATGCATTCAAATAGTACATTTGATAGATATTTATTTTTTAATTTTTTTTAAAAAGGTTATTTATTTTATTTTATTTATTTATTTATTTATTTGCTGTGTTGGGTCTTTGTTGCTGCACACAGGCTTTCTCTAGTTGTGGCGAGCAGGGGCTACTCTTCGTTGTGGTGCACGGGCTCAGTAGTTGTGGCTCGCAGGCTCTAGAGCACAGGTTCAGTAGTTGTCGTGCATGGGTTTAGTTGCTCCGTGGCATGTGGGATCTTCCCTGACCAGGGATCAAACCCATGTCCCCTGCATTGGCAGGTGGATTCTTAACCACTGCGCCACCAGGGAAGTCCCTTATTTTATTTTTGACTGTTTTATTTTTATTTATTTATTTTTAATTGACGTATAGTTGATTTACAATATTAGTTTCAGGTGTATAACTGATTCAAAAAATTTTATAGATTATACTCCATTTATAGTTATTATAAAATATTGGCTATGTTTCCCTTTGCTGTACAATATATCCTCGTAGCTTATTTATTTTATACATTGTAGTTTGTACCTCTTAATCCCCTATCCCTAACTTGCCCCTTCCCCCTTTCCTTTCCCCATTGGTAACCACTAGATTGGTTACCAATGGTCTATTCATATTTTCTATTTCTTCCTGGTTTAGTTTTAGGAGATTGTACATTTCTAGGAATTTGTCAATTTCTTCTGCATTGTCCACTTTATTGGCATATAGCTTTTCATAGTAATCTTGATAGAGACATTTAAATACAACACAGTCATAATTGTGTGTGTGTGTCCCTTTATTTTATTACTACTTTTGAGGAAAGGAATAAGGACTCTAAGCGTCCCTCTCCCCCAAAGGAGCTGTATAATATTTATGCTAGAAGAATGAGATCTACTTTCTAGTAAAATACTCAAGGATTGGTCAAAAGTGAACTCTTTTTAATTGTATTTTTAAAGTCAGTTATCAGCTATTACAAATTTCAGAAAATGTTCTTGATAAAGGATTCTTTAGAGATGTAAGAAAAGCAAAAAGCATCAGTACTGAAAAAGAATGGCTAAATGGAGAATACATGCAAAAGAGTGTTGACAGAACTCCTTATTGTATATAGATCCTAAGGCCTATTGACATTACCAAATGACTGAGAAAAATGTATAAATATTATCATTTCAGGTGCTATATGAATAAACAAAAATCGCTGAGATAGGAAAGAAGGAATATTTGATGATCCTGCTGTCAAATATGCGATATACCATATATAGGAAGTTTTTGAATAGCTGTTAGTGGACTAGAGAACCTAACAGAAAACTTGTGTTTAAGATAAAAATGTATTATTAGAAGAGTGTTAAGTGAAACTTAAAAAAATCTATACTTTTATCACAAATCAGTTGGTTTCATTTTTCTTTCTAGTCTTTATACATATATGTATGTGTTTTTTGTATAATTTAAATAATCATCTACTTACAAGTTCATATTTTATATTTTTTGCTTTGTAGTTCCTAAATTGTTCCACATTGATGGAGTTTTCATATTTTAATTATTAATTTTTACAGAATAGTCCATCATATATTCTGTAATTCTGATTCTTTCTCTATCTCTCCTTTTCTGATATTTTTCATCATATTGATGGTGTTTTTTGTTTTTAAACTTCAAATTGGTTTTCAACCAGGGGCAGTTTTTCCCCAGGTGATGTTTGGCAATGTCTGGGGATATTTTTGCTTGTCACAAGTTGTTGTTGGTTGGGTGTTAATAGCATCTGGTGGGTAGAGGCCAGGTATGCTGCTAAACATTCTACAATAGACAGACAGACCCCCACAACAAAGAATCCTCAGTCCCAAAGTTCCAAAGGCCAATAGTTCCAAGGTTGAGAAATCCTTCCTTAAAAGTAACACACCTTTTCCTCTATATATTTACAGAATATGAATGTAAAAAAAGCAAAGCAGAAGTAATGGTTAATTGTTTCAAGCAACTCAGAGCAGTAAGAAATGTTTGACTGGAGAGGGAAGATTGCTAAAGTCCAAAAGTTATGGTGCCTGCTCTTCCCATCTTAGAGTTGTGGCCATTTCTAGAGGTTGACATGGGAAGCAACTGCCAAAAAGGAAACCTCTTACCTAGTACTGATGCTTATGGATTTTCCACCATTATTTATTCAGCATCTCGACATAAATACTAAGATTTCTAATGTGTTCTTATGATTTACATTCAAAGTTGGATTTTTCTATTCATCATTCAATTTTTGTCATTTTATCAGTTTGAGGTGGCCAGTGGATTGACCGTTGCCTGAAAAAGACTTCATTGCTCTTAAGATTGAGATGTTGAAAGGTTTCTTATTTTTGACTGTGGCATGCTTCTAATTGTACTAATCTAGCTACAACTCAATTCTTGCCTTAATTTTGCTTTGTTTCAACATAAAGCTATTATTATTTATACTATATTATTATGAAGTATGGTAAAATTTTGCCTTACCTCAAGGTCACTTTAACTTTTAAGGCTTCTGTGTTTTGATTAAAATATAATATGTTGGATGCTGAATACTTTCAGTGTATAAGGGAAGACTGGTGGAACGTCACAGAGCAAGTAGGTGCTTGTATATCCTTATAGGGAACAATATCTTCGTTTTAGGGAAGTGAGTAGAATCCAGGTGGTATTTGGAGGAGAATTTTGCAGATTTATGCTTTATTCTGGCTGCTTTTTAAGAAAATTAGAACACAAAACAAACAAAAAAGGAGACAGGATCTAAGATGACCTTATAAGAGATGAATTCTCAAAAGTTCATTGATTAGAGGGAGAGTCTATAGTTTCTGAAACCAAAAAGGGGGAGAACCTATAGACAAGTCTAGAAAGGATTGTTTGTTACTGAAAACCTATGAGGTGTTATAGCTTCTTTCCTCTTTTTACTGTATAAATCTCTTGTATTACTCTTGAATTTTTAGGCACAGCTGTGTACAGGGTGGATGGGTGTGAGAAGGTAGGACAGGAGTTCATAAAATTTCCTATATATATTTTAAGATGTATTATACTTAACCAAATACCGTTTTTATTCTAAAATTCTTTCATGTTATGGTAAGATTTACCTGTATATATTTAAAGTTACAGTGTCTTTGACTGAAGTATACCAAGAAAGGCAAAATGGGATTGTACTTGGGAAGCCATAGTAAGGTAAACAGAAAATCAGACTTCTGGGATTTGAAAGAAGAGTACTCTTAGTGCTTTGTGGTAGTGAACTTGAGTTCATAAAATCATGAAATGTGTGATGGAATTTAGACTTCTTACAGCGTAGAATTGCCATGGTGTGTGTACTGTTTTGTTTCATCATAATACTGATGATTTAACTTCATGTTAAATGTAGTTTTCACTTTTAGGTTTTAAGAAGTGAATCCCCTGTTTTCTGTTTTTCAGTGAATATCACCTCTGCCAGGCAATTAACCGGATGTAGTCGCTTCAGCCATATTTTCCCTTCATCTGCTTACCAGCACATTAAGATGCATAAGAGAATTCTGGGGCACTTGTCATCTGTCTACTGTGTAGCATTTGACCGAAGTGGGAGGAGAATTTTTACAGTGAGTTTAAAATTAATGATACTATAGCATATTAGAGATTTACAACAATGGAAGCTAGGCTTCATGGCATTGAATTATGCTTTGTAAGCAGTTCTTCCTTTTTAGACACATGCATGCAAGAAAAGATGAGTGGAAATTGAAAATCTTTTCTCTTTCTATATAAGTAAATGGATGAACTATAATGACCTCTGTATTTGGGAAATCTAATTTTAAAAAATTAAATCTTCAGGAGGCCTTATATTCTAGAGGTGGTTAATTTATGTGAAACAAGTTTATCTACTCAATTGGTTTCATTCCCTTTTAGCAAACATTTATTAAAATGCATTTTCTATTGGTGCCAGTTTTGCTTAATTAATGATTACATCATCCTTATAGTTGAATAGTTGAACTACATGTTTAGTAATGAAGATTACAGTTATTGTATATATCTCTCTTTGAATTCAATAGTAATTATTTTTAAAATTGGATTGTTATTAACCAGATCATATTGTGTGCTTTAGAGTACAAAATTGTAGCACACTAATATTTCCAAGTAAAGGCTTAGTCTCATTGTTTCAGTACTAAGTTAATGTAGAAGTGTAGGTAATGGCATAATTTTCTTTTTAAATTCCTAGGCTACAACAAGGAAGTGGTTTGTATTTTGAGAAGTACGACTTCTTGGAGTTCATTACAGACTCTTCCATTGATGTTTTCATGACTCCAAAATGCATCACCTAAGTATATGGGTGTTGATGATGATGAGGATGATGATTTTCATCTTTTTATAAACAGATAATTATTAAATAGCTTATCTACCACAGTAGAATTGCTTTTTACTATTTAAAGCTCTTTTGAAATTCTCAGTAGGAAGTTCCACATAATATTTTCCCCAGAGATTATTAACAAAGTCTCATGTTTGCATGTAGATTTTAGGTTAAAGTTTTAGGTATTTATAGAGAAAATAATATTCAAGCAATTAAGAAAAAAGGTGTTAGGAAAGAAATAATGGCAGAGATAGTTAATGCCAAATCACTTAAAAGTAAAAAATATTTTGAGTTGTCAGGATTGGTAGTAGTTTTGAGGAGTTATTCACATATGCCATTATCAGTTTGGACAGTGCTTTGTCAGTGCTGTCATTTGGACGTATTTTATATTTTCTACTCGCTCCATGTTATATAAAGAAAAGAGACTAAAAAGTAAAGGCTTAGAAGTAACTTAATAAAATTCTCCTTTGTTTTTGCTTTTTCTGTGGGGGGAGGGGGCGAATTTTTGCTTTATTGTAAATCTGTCCTTTTGTGTTGCTATAGGGTTCAGATGACTGTTTGGTGAAAATTTGGGCAACAGATGACGGGCGCCTTCTTGCTACACTTCGAGGGCACTCTGCTGAAATTTCTGACATGGCTGTTAACTATGAAAACACTCTCATTGCCGCAGGCAGCTGTGATAAAGTTGTAAGAGTGTGGTGTCTCCGAACTTGTGCACCAGTTGCAGTCCTTCAGGGACATTCAGCTTCTATTACTTCCATACAGGTAAGAAAAATAAAAAGATACCTCTAGTAGATGTAATAAGAATGAGAATTCTCTTGTTTTTTGTTACATCGTGTGGATTATACAAAGAATGGCAACAGAAAAATATTGATTTCTTAAGGGCTTTGTCCTTACCTTGCAGACAGGTATTTTTTAAAGTTCCCTTTTCATATAAATCTGTTCCCTTTAGAAATAAGTAAAAAGGTCATTGAAAAGGTTTTTCAAATGTAGTGTAAGACATCTTTATCTCATTTGTATTTGTGAAGAAGGGAAAAGACTTGGAATTGCCTTAAGGAACAACACCAGTACCTTTTAGGCAGGATATAAGTAGCTTCTAATTTGAATATTGGCATACTTTGTGTTAATATTTAATGCAAAATGTTTATCAGTTCAGATTTTGTGTGTGTGTGTGTGTGTGTGTGTGTGTGTGTGTGTGTGTAGTTTAATATTAGGGAAATTTTTATTCTTAATTTCAGCCATTTCTTATTTCAACTAGATGTTTGACATACAATACATTGAGTTTTTAAATATTTGTCCATATAATGTTTTTACCAGATGTTGGTAGTGAAAGTCCTGGATACTCCCCAAAGAACTTTGTTCTCTTCTTTGTGTTGACAGCTAAACAGAGGAATCCTCTGACACTGTCTTTTATTTTGGTCAAGCAGATTACTTTTGCGGATGAGATAATTACTCCCATTCACTTTTCTTTGTTCTTTAATCACTAATAAATATGCCAATCAGTTTTTTGTGTGTTATTTAAATAATATATAACCTGTTTACGAGGCCCTAACAAGAATTGGATTCAACATATACTGGATTTGAACATTTTTATGTCAAATTTTTGATTAGTTGAAATTATTTTTTGGATTTTGTTTTGGAATATTACTAGTTACTTGTGTTCCCACCATCCTATCTGACAGACTGTTTCTGGAATTTGGAGATAGTCTCTCGTACAACATAAAAAAATATGAATATTTGTTTATACTGGAAATGTTTATGGAACTGTTTGGCTCCTTCATAGTTTCATTTGCTAGTTTCTGTCTCATTTGATTTACGTGTGTAAGTGCCCTAGAGATCCATGGACTTCTTTGTTGTTTTTTTTTTTTTTTTTTTCGGTACGCGGGCCTCTCACTGTTGTGGCCTCTCCTCATGCGGAGCACAGGCTCCGGACGCGCACGCTCAGCGGCCATGGCTCACGGGCCTAGCTGCTCCGCGGCATGTGGGATCTTCCTAGACCAGGGCACGAACCCGTGTCCGCTGCATCGGCAGGCAGACTCTCAACCACTGTGCCACCAGGGCAGCCCTGTTTTGTTTTGTTTTGTTTTGTTTTTGTATGGACCTCTTTTCTATAACATTCTTTCCCTTACTGATCTCATCAACTCTCATGGCTTTAAATTTCATCTTGTATGCTGATGACTCCAAACTTGTATTTGCGTCTTGGGGCCTGTCTTTTAACTCCATACTTGTATATTCAGCTACCTACTTGGCATCATCACATGAATGTCTACGAGGCATCTCAAACTCAACATCTTCAAAACTTAACCTCTGTCTTCCTTCCTCAGATTTGCTCCTCCCAAAGCTTTCCCCATCTAAACAAATGACAATTTCATCCTTCCAATTGCTCAGAGTACTCATTCCTGACTTTTTGTTTCTCATAGCCCACATCTAACTTGTTAGCAAATCATGTTGGCTCTACCCTCAAAATATATCCAGAATCTGAACAAATTCTCATGACCTCTATCATTACTACCCTATTTCAAATTACTATCATCTGTGACCTAGATTTTGGAAACAGACTTCTAACTGATCTTCCTGCTTCTTCCCATCCCTCTTTCCTGTCCCAGTCTAGGCTCTGCATAGCTGCATGAGTGATTTTAAGATGGAAGTTTAAAACAAAGGAAGTTAAATCATGTCACTGATGCTCAGAACCTTTAATAGCCTCCAAACTCAGAGTTAAAGCTGAAGGTTTTACAATGACCCACAAGGCCTTACATACTCAGCCTCTTGCTCTCTTTGACCTTATCTCCTACTACTTATTTCCTGTCCCCATTCTGCTTTAGCTGCTTTTTTAGATCACTCTAGCTACACTCCTGTCTTTGCTCTTGCTGTTTCATGTCTCTGAAATGGTCCTCTTTGGATAGTCACATGGTTTGTTCCCTTACTTTGTAAGTGATGGAAATGTCTGTCACTTTTCCAAGGAAACCTTCTCTGACAAACTTACCACTCTAAAATTGTAAATCATTACCCCCCCAGCACTTTTTCATTTTTGTTTATAGTAATGATAATTTAGCATGCATTCTATATGCTTTATTAGTTGCTAATTGACTGTCTCTGTTAACATCATAGTGTATTATTATTCTTTCAGTTTCTTTCTTTTTTAATAAAATTGAGGTAAAATGGTCTGATGTTAATAGTGGTTGCCTCTGAGTAGTGGGATTATAAATAGCTTTTATTCTGTTTTTCTATATTTTCTAACTTTTCTTCAATAACTGTGTATTAATTTGTATTCAGAAATGCACATATATGTTTTTATAATCTTAAACATGATTTCCCATTTAAAAACAATCCAGTTAAGGTACATTAATGGACTGAATTCCCCTTTGTGATTGAAACATTTTAAATATGAGCATAATAAAGGTTTTAGTGTTTCTTCAAACTTAATAAAATCATTATATTTCATATTTTATTGCCTCATTCCTATAGATCCTAGATCAGCAAATTTACAGGCCAGATAGTAAATATATTAGGCTTTGAAGGCCATATGGTCTCTGTTGCAGCTACTTAACTCTGCCTTTGCAATGCAGAAGCAGCCATAGACAGTGTAAGGTGACTGTGTTCCAATAAAACTTTATTTACAGAAATGGGCAGGAAGGTGATTTGGTGTGTGGGCCTTAATTTGCAGACCCCTACTATAGATTGTGGATTAAGCTTTCTATTGCACGCTTCTCTATGTTAGAAATGAAAATATAAGCATGCTACCTGAGTACTGGTTTCTTTACTGTTCATCAACTATTAATGGATAATATTAATTGATATTTTTTGTTTGATTTAAACTCTGTAGTCTTTAGAAGTTCTGTGCTTCCAAACAAGAAAACTAAATAAATGACTTCTAATATCTATAATGATCATTTTCTTTTGATTTGAGTTTAAATTTTTTTTCAAATCCAATGATCCTTAATTTCCATCTCATTGGAAGGTATTCATTATGTTTATTTGGGATTTTTATTTTTTATTTATTTATTTATTTTTTTTTTGCGGTACGTGGGCCTCTCACTGTTGTGGCCTCTCCCGTTGTGGAGCACGGGCTCCGGATGCGCAGGCTCAGCGGCCATGGCTCACGGGCCCAGCTGCTCCGTGGCATGTGGGATCTTCCCGGACTGGGACACGAACCTGTGTCCCCTGCATCAGCAGGCGGACTCTCAACCACTGCGCCACCAGGGAAGCCCTATTTTTAAAATTTTTAATTTAATTTTTATTTATTTATTTGGCCGTGCTGAGTGGCTTGCAGGATCTTAGTTCCCCGACCAAGAATTGAACCTGGGCCATGGCAGTGAAAGCTCCGAGTCCTAACCATTGGACTGCCAGGGAATTCCCTATTTGGGATTTTTAAAGCTCATGAGCATGCTAGAGACCCTGGTTTGATTTTCAACCTTTTCCTTTGTCCCAGGTATCAGGAGCCTAGTGGCTTTTCCCTTCTCTGATTCTCTTCTGAGGACCTGTAAAATACTGAGAGTTACAGCCTGAGAATCCTACATGATAAAGACCATCAGATAGTAGTCATACTTTAAATTGGCAACTCAAGTATATTTTTTTAATCTCTTTTTTCCACAATGATACATACAGACATTTGACCTATTTTATATTATCCATTAAAACACATGAAGATGATTTAAATTTAAGAATGGTGAAATTTCTATCATACTTCATTGAAATTAGAGTTTAAAGTAAAATGTTAAAACCCAATACTTAGACATTAACTTCCTTATCACTGTTTTAGACTTACTTCTGATGCATGCCTTTTTCATGTGAACTATAAAAAATTTATATGGTTGCTATATAAGCGTGTATTCAGCAGATTTGTAATGGCTTAACTAGTAATGACTTCGTTTTTTTCTCCATTAAAAGTAGTAAAATAATAATATTAAAGTGTGATGTTGAATGATTTTAAAATAATTATCTTTAGGGCTAAAATATTTTATCCTAAATTCAATGAATGACTTTTCTAGTTTTTTGATATTTTCAAATTTTATAAGGTATTCATTAATCTAGGAAATTTAAATAACTAATTTCCTGAAACTGAAATTAAGCTGAAATTAAGCTTGAACATTAAGCTTGAAATTAAGCTTGAACAAATTAATTAAAATTTGTTTTCCAGTTTTGTCCATCAACTAAAGGCACAACCAGATACCTCACTTCTACTGGTGCTGACGGAACTATCTGTTTCTGGCAATGGCACGTAAAAACAATGAAGTTTAAGTAAGTTTAAAATTGGGTTAGAAATTTTTCTTTATCACTTTGAGAGATTCTTGATAGTCCATGTATGTAAGTATATAAATTTATATATGTATGAGTGTGTATGTACATATCCATACCTACTTCAATTAGATGTTAGAGATTTTAGAATAAATTTTTTATTAAACCAATGTTGAAGAGACTTTTTAATTTATACACAGAATTTTGATAAGGAGTATTTGTTTCATTTCTTACTCTGGTAAGAATACTTTGAACCTTTCTTCATGATGGTAGTAAGTAACATGGTAATTTCTTTGTAAAGCTAACATAATTATACTGATAGCATAAAGTATATTTGTAAGTTTAAATGTATTTTTAACTTCAATAATGGGAATAGTACTTAATACTTCAGTTTTGTGGTTTCTATAATATTGATGATAAATCTGTCAATATCTAGCAGTGTGCTAAAATTCTTGCACACTAAATGAACATGATGAAAAATAAAAACATTTTACTTTTCTCTTAGAGATCGCCCAGTGAAATTTACTGAGAGATCTAGACCTGGAGTTCAGATATCTTGTTCATCTTTCAGCTCTGGTATGTGTAAAAATTGAATGTTTTGAGTATCTAAAATATTGAATAATCCAGTTATAAAAGATTTTTCAACTGTAAAATATTTTTTAATTTTGTGGAGAAAAAACGCATATGTTTGAGAATTAATGGAAACATGCTAAAAATGCTAACCATATGTTATAATAGACAGACCTTTGTAGACTCTAATTAACATGTAATAGATTTTGAGTTGTTTTCTTATTTACAGTTAATATGTTTTTATATAATACTGAATTTAGTTGGTAAAAAGTACAGCCTTCCCCCAATACTCATACACAATTCAACACTAAAATCCTGCCCTGACTTTTCAGAAAACATGTACAGTGGCTCCATGTAGAAGACATGTTCACAGTATGTAAACAGTGCTTTTCTACTGCTAAGAATTCTGTGCTGGTTAACCTTTTCTTTTTTGTTGTGGTAAAATATAACACGAAATTTACCATTTTAAGAACATTTTTTAAGTGTACAGTTCTGTGGCATTAAGTATATTCACATTGTTCTACATACATTACCACCATCCATCTCTAGAATTTTTTTCATCATCCCAAAAGCTGCTGAGTTTTCACACTCAACCACTGTAGCCACTATACAGAGAATTGTAGATATAGGTTATTTTATAAATAATTTTGGAACATTATGTTTTTACATAAAATAGGAAGAAATGAATTCCTCAACGCCTTTAATGTTTATGATCCAAAGGCCTGTATTTAGTGTATAGTTGGTGGATTTTTGTTGGGTGAATGATATAGTTGTTCTTTAAATATTCCTCTTGTTTTTCTTGAATTTTACTTATTTTTCCTCAGAAATGTTAATATGTCTTTAATGGTTAGAAAATAACTTTATGTTTCTTGAAGGCTTTTTAATTAACAAGGTAATGTATAACTAAGGAAGCCATCAGAGGGTTTTTAAAATTCTTTGGTACAATGTTTGTTTGTTTTTTAATCCTCTAGGTGGTATGTTCATTACAACAGGTAGCACTGACCATGTGATTAGAATATATTATTTGGGTTCTGAGATCCCTGAGAAAATTGCTGAATTAGAGTCACATACGGTAAGAACAAAATGAGAAACTTAAATATGTTGCTTTCTTTTTAAACACCCCTGGAAAATTGGTTTTATTTCTTCTTTTCTGATCTCTACCCTAATTTAATATAGATTGGTACTGAAACCTATATGGTAAGATGTCTCTCTTTAGTAATGAAGATCAGTGTGAAATTCTGGATTTAGTATGGTTGTAGTATTTAAGACAATTTCTATCTGACTCTATGGGAAGGGAAAATATATATTACAGTAATAATTTACAAAAATCCTCTTCTAGCTTGCTTTATTTTATTAATTGTATAAGTGTTTGTTACTTCGAAGCCTATACACTTATTAAAAGACACATTAAAGTATGTCTTAGAAAAAAATTATTTTTACTGCATTTAGCTCATTGATCTTAGTTTGATTATTTTCAGAATGCCATCAGATTCCTGAAATCTAATCCCATTTAGTTATCAAAAACAGCCTTCCATACAGGGGATAATTTTATGCTGAGGTGACAGCCATTGGTGCCTGGCATTTTTCCTCTCAAGCTCCTTCCACTCTCCTGTGACATTTTCAGGAATCTTGGAGCCACTACTGTTTATTCATATCCCTGTGTACCTTTCACTTCTTCCTTCTGTTTATTTCCTTACCTTCTCCAGGTAATTATTTACTGTTGAATATGGGAGTATTTCTGTTTCAGCTCACTGTATATCTCATGTTCCTCATTGTCAAAGCTGTATAGTCAGCATTTGAAAGTACTCAGCTTTACAAGTCTTACTGTTACTGTTCCTACTACTATTGACACTTCATTTGGAATAGTATTAGTACATATCAATAAAACACACATAATTTCCCTGAAAGATGACTTTTACAAAAAGATACTTTGTGAGTTCCAGAATCAATCATGTTCCTGAAATTTGTAGTAAAAGAGACCCCTGTTAGAAACCTTTTCCTTGAGCTTTTGGAAACAGCCTCCTGCTTTTGTCTTACCATATAAACATAATTGGATATTCTCCTTATGGAAAGTTACTGAACCTAGCTGAGCTCTCACCTTGCTGTTACTTATTCCTAGATACTAAAATCCTGGAATATTATGTAAATTGTGAAAGAGAAAAACTTAGGAAATATATAAAGATCTCAATCTGAGACTATCCAGTGGGAAAAATCCACTTGTGCTAGAGCACACAAAGGAGGCATCTTTACAGTTACCACCCAAGCAAGGTGTGTATACAGTGCAGTCAAATTTATTGAGAGCTGAGAGAGGAGGAGGTAATAAATGAATGGGAAATAATTGAGGGGGGAAAAGGTGAAGAAAAACTGATTGGTAGGGTTTTTTTGGCAAGGGCCTAGCTAAGAAAAAGTCAGAAAACTTAAACATTCCCTGTTGAAATCAGTGGCGGCTGTTAGTCATTGAAAGTAAGAAGTCCTTCCAGAACATCTAAAATCAGTTATTGCAACTGGCACTGAGAATCCTGAATCTGTCAGATAAATACTCAGTGAAATCATGGAACAGTGTGAATCACAGATACGTCTGAACATATGAAGACGGTTTAATACGTTTTTAAAATGAAAAAATAAATACGAAGACATTTTGTATCTGAGTTTTTTATTAAAAATTAAGTTCAAATAAAAAAAATAATTAAAAAATTAAGTTCAAATGTAGTTCAATAATTGTGGTTTGTGAAAATGTTTACAACATTTGAAGGTACATTACTATAATAAAATCACTACAATGCACATTATATTTGTAAAAGTATAGTTTAGTCATTGTAAAGGAAGTTTCAAACAACAGTATCTAAATTAAAGAACCTAAAGACGGTCAAATGAATTCATTGTAAAATAATTAAATAAACCATGTAAGAAACAGGAAATTATTGATTTGTTTTCTAAAATTAAAAAAAAAAAAGTTAAGTGAGGAATTTAATTCAACTACTATTAAATGATTTTTTTTAAGTTGGCATTTTAGATTAGTGTGCTGTCTTATTATGGGGGATATAATAAACTATCGTCTATTCAGAACTATCTGTCTCTTGAGCTTATGGTTTAGAAACAGGTTTGCTTATGTCTGGTTTGTCTCAAATTACTGCTGATATGTGTTCCTCCTTAGTTAATATATTGTTTCAGCCTTCATTAATTTTTTAAAGAAAATTAGAGGGTTTTTTTAAAGAAAATTATAGCATTAAAAAATCTACTCCATGATACTTTCATATGTGAATATGATGGGAAGAGTACTTTATTCATTTTAAAAATAAATTAATTCTAACCAAAAATCTATTGTTTTATGTTTTAGGACAAGGTTGTTGCTGTTCAGTTCTGTAACAATGGAGACAGGTAACTATGTAGTACATATCTATATAAACAGATGTTTCACATATTTTACCTGTATTTCTTCAGAAAACACTACTTCTACTACATTATTTTTTTCTGTCCAGTCACTTAGGCTGAAAGCCCTTGTCTGTCTTTGATGACATTCTTACCCCAGCTCTTCTAAGCTTCCATCTAAGTAGTAGCCATAGTCTATCAGTTCTTCCTTTATTAGTGATTTTTCTTTTTCCATTTCTGTTATCACCCATCTTAGTCAAGAATTCCATTATTTGACCCATTATCTTCAGTTTTCTTTTCCCTTCTAAATGTATCTTGTCCATCTCTGTCAGATGAACATTGCCCTGTTCAGAAATCTTTAGTGTTTTCTCTTTGTTTATAGAACTCAAATGTTTTAGCCTGGCATTCAGAATTCTCTTCAACTTGACTTAGACCTACATTCTTTTCTTATCTACTATTACCCATTTAAATACTTAGATCCAGCCCAATTGATTTAGTCATCATTATTATTACATCCCATATACATTCTGTTATCCATTCTTTCACTTATACTTTACCTCACACCAGAAATAATCATACCCTATTTCCTTTCACTCCTTTTCTATCCTGCCTATGTCCTCCCTCTTGCTTCTGCTCTCCTTCCTTTTTATTTTCCTTTTCCCTCCTGTCTCTTTTTCTTCTCTAAGTTCTATCTTCCTTTTAAGGTTCGTACCCTACCTGAAGCCTTTCTTAACTGCTTGAGATTTTAGCTGTCTTTTCTTCCTTTGAGCATCTGTATCGCTTACTGTCTCTACTACTCATATGATACACAATTTCCTATGTCTGTAAACTCAGAAATTATATACATGTATTCATGTACCCTCTCAAATGTCTGGTCCCCAGAAGGTGATAATCTTCTGCCCTGGCCTACAAATTGACCTAGAATAGATGTAAAAATTCAACCACTTAGCATAAATTTGTATCCTTATCTGTCTATAAAGACTTTATGTGGGTGACCATGTTTTCTTATTAAATATTTTTCAAACACTGGGTGATTACTATGATGAATGTGTTCATCTTTGTTAAATGCGAGAGTAAATAATGATGGTCCACAAAGAGTGATGTTTTTATTAGGAATGAAAAATACTTAAAATAATTTTTAAGTTGGTTTATTGCACCCTACTGAGCTATACACTGGAAGGTTTGTACAGCTACTATTCTTTCATTCTAGGAGTATATGAATTTTTTAATTCTTTGCCTTTTTCCTTAAATGAGAAACATTATTTTATCTTAATTAGTTATGTGGCCAGTAAATACATCAAAAGATGTCCAATTTTACTAATAATCAGAGAAATACAATTTAGAATAACAGTAACAATTTTTTTTCTTTCAGAATGACAAGATATTGAAGAATGATAACACCCAATATTGACAAGGGTTTAGGGAAAATAGACACTCCCCCACAACCTTGATGATACTGTAAATTGTTTTTAAAAAAACTTTTCAGGGAAATAATTTGGCAGTATGTCAAAAGCTTTCATAATGTGCCTACCCTGAACGGGGAATATAAGGGAGAAAAGATTCAGGAAGAGAGTATAAATTCTTCATGAAAGAGTCCTTTATACTGTTAAACTAGGAAAATGTCATTGATTTGACAGCTCCCAGTGTGTGCATCTGTGGCCAAACCTGAAGCTGAGACAGAATAAAGCTTTTCTTTCTTTAAAAAAGTGTGCCTACCCTTAGACTCAGCCAAGATATATATATAAGGTTTTACAAAGATGTGTATAGAGATATTCATCACAACATTATTTATAATGGCAAAGACTGGAAACAGTAAAAATATTCATCATTAGGAGGTTTATTAAATAAATTTTGATACATCCGTACTGTTGAACATTTATTGAAAGTGATAGTAGTTTTTATATTTGTAAACATAGAAATATATCTACAAAATACAGTTGACCCTTGAAAAGCATAGGTTTGAACTGTGCAGGTCCACTTATGCAGATTGTTTTTCAATAAATACATTAGAAAAAGTTTTGGAGATTTGTGACAATTTGAAAAAACTCAGACAAACCATGTAGCCTAGAAATATCAAAACAATTAAGAGAAAGGCATGTCATGAATGTATAAAATATATGTAGATACACATATAACACACAAAATAAGTGTTAGTCAAGTGTTTATGTTATTGGTAATTCTGGTCAACAGTAGGCTAATAGTATTTAACTTTGGAGGAGTCAAAATATACATGCAAAGTTTTGATTGTGTGGCAGTGTGGGGGCCGGTGCCTCTAATCCCTACATTGTTCAGGGGTCAAACTGTACACTTAAAGAAAAACATTATAAAACATTATATGTAATGTAATTCTATTTTCCGTAGGGGGAATATCTAAGTGTATATATATATATATATATATATATATATATATATATGTCTTTAATAAAGTCTGAAAGAATAGAAACTAAATTATGAACAGTGATAGATTTATAGGTTAATGAATGTATTTTTATAACAGTTTTATTGAGATATATTCCACATAAAATTCAATGTTTTTAGTATATTCACAGGGTTGTGCAACCTTCACTACGATCAATTTTATTTTATTATTTTTTAATTGAAGTATATTTAATTTATAATACTGTATTAGTTTCAGGTGTACAACATAGTGATTCAATATTTTTATAGATAATACTCCATTTAAGGTTATTACAAAATAATGGCTGTATTTCTTCATGCTGTACACTATATCCTTGTTGCTTATCTGTTTTATACATAGTAGTTTGTATCTCTTAATCCATATCCCTAGAACATTGTCATCACCCTAAAAAGAATTCCCATATTATACCCTTTAGCTTTCAATCCCCAATCTTTTTACACCTCCACCCTCAGCTCTGAACAACCATTAATCCACTTTTTTGTTTTTATAGATTTGCCTATTCTGGATGTTTCATATTAATGGAATCATACAATATTTGGTCTTTTGTGACTTTTTCCACTTAGCATAATGTTTTCAAGATTCATCCATGTTGGAGCATGTATAAGAATTGGAGTCCTTTTTGTGGCTGTCAAGTATTCGATTGTATGGATATACGACAATTTGTTTATCCATTTATCAGTTGATCAACATTTGGGTTGTCACCACTTTTTGGCGTATAATGAATAATGTCATGAATATTCGTGTACAAGTTTTTGTGTGGACTTATGTTTTCATTGCTCTTGTATATTTATGGGGGAGTAGAATTGCTGAGTCATATGGTACTGTTTATCATTTTGAGGAACTGCCAAACTGTTTTACAAAGTGTACCATTTTTATTCTCTGCAGAAGTATATGAGGATGAATGTATTGCTCTTATAATTAGAAAAATAGTGATTTCCATTTTAGAGGGAGGTAATAAGGATATTTTAACTGTTTCTTTGCAGTTTAAGATTTGTTAGTGGAAGTAGAGATGGAACGGCAAGAATTTGGCAATATCAGCAACAAGAGTGGAAGAGTATAGTGCTAGATATGGCTACTAAAATGACTGGGTAAGATTGGATGTTAGATATTTTAGTGGTTCTCATTTGGTATAGTATGTTTTACATTATTGAATTCTATTTAATTATGAAAATAAATATCTTTTTTATTTGGAGTTAATTGGTAGATGTGAAGTTTGCATCTGTATGTAGTCTCTAAGCACTATTGCCTTTTGCTGTCGGTGGACAGATTGGATGATAGGAACATAGCTGACTCATTGAAAATTCTGGTCTCTTGTGATTCAAAGGTCTCTGTGCTTTACTAATGCCTATATAATCATTCTCTGCCCTGATTTTGTATGAGTCATTTTTTATATCTATTTATACTATTTTCTACTTTGAGGATTGCCCCTATTAAATGTCATCATATGTTTAGCTATTTCTCTGACTTACTGAGGATACTTTTATGTTTCATATTGCTAACATTCCTACTTGACATTATAAATACAATTAATCAGAATTCTGTTTCATCATCTTCACTGTTCATTGGAAGATATATAATTCCTCTTTAGGATACTGCAATTCCTTTAGGGTATAACCGGGAAATTAATTATCTTCCCATTAATAACAATATAGAACCAACTTTGTGGTCATAGCCAGTTACTGATAGTGTCATTCAATTAAAGCAAAAGTTACTGAGTTTCTTACTGCTTTTTTATAAGACCTTTTAGTTTCAAAAATGAATATTTAAGAATAAAGTGTCCATTATATGGTTTCTTCATATTTTCTGGTAGCCAATCTAACCTTGTACTTTATTTTTCAAGGTATCTGCAGATTCCTTTCTAATTTCACTTTTTTGTTGTTGTTCTCATGTAACTAACTATAAACTTTTTGCCATTTTGTGTTTTTTTTCCTCCCTAAAATAAGCTTATGGGTATTGCCCTATGTGTTACTCTTATTATTTTATTTCATTAATAGTTAAAAGTATAGTTTAGGAGTTTTTAATTTAAAAAGTTGCATGCTCCTGGAGAGATTTTTGCCATAATTTGCTCTGTTAGATGCACCTTTGTTCAAAATTTATGAACCTGAAATCATTTTGTTTAGGAATAATTTGCTATCTGGAGAAGACAAGGTCACTAAACTTAAGGTGACTATGGTGGCCTGGGATCGCTATGATACCACAGTTATTACTGCAGTGAACAATTTCCTTTTGAAAGTATGGAATTCTGTCACAGGCCAACTTCTTCATACTTTATCCGTAAGTATTCTATTTTTGGAATAATTAAAATGGTCAAAAAGGGCATTATTCTAGAAGACAAGAAATTTAAGTATTCTAGTTTACTTTCTATGGCTTACTGTCCTTTGGAGAAGTAATTATTCAAGGTACCTCTGTTGACATATCAATAAAATAGGGATGGCACATGGTGTAGCTGCTAAAAGCAAGTATGAAAACTTAAGATCCTTTTCAAGTCTGATATTTATTTACACATTATGTTATCATATGTGGTCAAGGGTATGTAAGTTATTTTGTTTTTAGCGTGAGTTGGGATTTTTTGTTGTTAATGTTTTAAGGGTAGAGCTGACTTTATTTTAACAAGGGTAACTTGTATTCTACCTTTGGGGATTAGTTTATGCAAGAAGTAGAGGTAAGAGGAAGAAGTAGGAGAAAATGGTGTCTTTCCTTCTTTTAAAAAAAGGAATTTGTCATAGTTGAACTCTACTTAAAAGCCTATTTCCTATCTGCTTCAATTATCGATTCATAAGTACTTTCAGAAGGGCCAAGTGATTGCCATATGGTTTACACAGTAGTAAATGATAGGGACTGGATACTAATTCTCATGACTCATTTCTTTGTTGTATGCCATAGTATCATCCTTATTTGGTGCCTATGTGAGATAATCTTTTCTAAGGCCTCTGAGGTTTCTAAAGATTTGTTTAATTTTGGGAGGATTTGCAGTTGATCTTTCATATACCTCCCAAGTCCTCCTTCCTAAGTAAAACCCTAACACTGTGTTAGGGGAGTTTTAGATTCTTCCTTTTACCTGTTAAATCAATACTTATCTCATTCTGGCTCTCCCTGTTCCCTGATACAAGTTTCTATTAATATGTGTGGAAAAACCTATACTGTTTGCTTTATTACTTACTAGGAAATGTTTGTCTATGTCAGCACAGTCCAATAAAAATATAATATGAGCCATGTATATAATATTAATTTTCCTAGTAGCCACAATAAAAAAGTAAAATGTAACAGGTAAAATTAATTTTAATAATATATTTTATTTAACCTAGTATATCTAAAATAGTAACATTTGAACATGTAATTAATATGACATATTAATGAAATTGTTCACATTTTTTCATACTAAATCTTTGAAATCTAGTGTGTATTTTACAATAATAGAACATCTCAATTTGCACTAGCCACATTTCAGATGCTTAGTAGCCACATGTGCCCAGTGGCTGCAAGTCTTTATCTCTAAAAATCACAGCTTCAAAGGCCATGTTGTAGCCATTGGTTTTATAAAATTCTGTCTTAATAAATATCTTAATTTAGAGTTCTCTTTAGTGGTACACTTCCCATGGGCTGACTCATGGGTCATCTGTTTCCAGTGAATTTTAATGAAGAAATTTTAGAACAGACTATTTTTAGTCCTTGTAACAGTCAAATCTGCTTAGTTTTGGTATAGAATTTATATTTTATGTGTTAACAATTTGTATGTCAGGGTCTTAACTAGGACATAAAGTTCTTCCATTCAGCAAATACTTACTGAGTATCCACTGTGCCAACCACTGAGTTAGGAGTAAATGTTAAATTAAAGGGTCCCCATCCTCCTGGAGTTTACAGCTTATAAATATTTTTTTTTTAAAAAGAAACAAGCATTTAATAAATAAATGCTAAGAAAGAAAAGTGCAAAGCAAGTTTCTAATAGGATGACCAAACCTGGTCTGGCATGGTCAGAAAAAGCTTCCTGAGGAAGTGAAGTTTGGGTTAAGATTTGTAGCTCTCAGCCTAGATGTCACCTTGACAAGGCCTTCCCTGATCAAACAATCGCCCAGTCATTGTCTTGCTTTATTTTCATCATAGTGTTTATCACTACCTGATATTTTCTTATTGTTCTTATTTGTTTGTTTATTTTCTGTCTCAGTGTGGTCAGTAAATATTTGGCAAATTACATATGTGAGAAGGTTGAAAGTTCCCTCTAAGAAGAGGGAAACGCATGTACAAAGGTCTAGAGGTAGAAAGGAGGAGCAAGAAAGCCAATTTTTGTCTAGAGCACAGAGAGCAGAAAGAGTGTTTTTTTTTTTTTTTTTTTTTGCAGTACGCGGGTCTCTCATTGTTGTGGCCTCTCCCGTTGCGGAGCACGCGCTCCGGACGCGCAGGCTCAGCGGCCATGGTTCACGGGCCCAACCGCTCCGCGGCATGTGGGATCTTCCCGGACCGGGGCGCGAACCCGCGTCCCCTGCAGCGGCAGGCGGACTCTCAACCACTGCGCCACCAGGGAAGCCCTGCTATTGCTTTTGAAAAATACCCTGTAATTCTAGCAATAGAGTAGAGAGAATAGATTGGAATGAATAAGAATGACTCTGGGTATACTGTAGGATTCTGTGATAGGATGGGCCATGATGATAATTTGGATTATGTGGTAGTGGTGGAAATAGAGGTGTGCTTGATAAATAAAAATAGGGCAGATGATAAATCTTAAGACATTACTGAAGCTGACTAGGTTTTGTTTCCCATGACCCAGTGACTATGTCATTTTGGCCAAAAATGCAACCCCCTATTTAAAAGCCTCTCTTTCCTAATGTACACTAATGTAGTTGTATCACTATCATTTGAGTTTAACAGTGTAATTTTATTATTTACTGGTTAGGAAACTGAGAAAGTATTTACTATATCAAATTGGATATTCAGCAAGAGATTTTGTTATGATAAATAAATAAGATCTTTAGTAGTGATTGGGAAAAAGTTTTGTCATGATATTTATTGTAATGGATTTTACCTCCTCATCTTCCACTTTTCATTTTGAGCCATTCTGAAATTACTTTTATATTTTTGTCCATAATGGTAATATGGTAGGATACTCTATTTTTGTATACAATGATTTGGGATAAAATGCACTTTTTAGGTTCACAATATATGATCATTTCTAGAAACACCTGATGTGTAATATGCTGACATGTTCCTAAGTGAAATCCAATTTCAGGATGTCCTGCATGTTTCTCTAAGACTTTGAGCCTGTTGTTAAAGATGTACTCTCTAGTCAGGAGTTTCGGAAAATCAACAATGATCTAAATCAGGTTTTGGCAACCTTTTTCTTTAAGAGGCCATATGGTAAATATTTTAGGTTTTGCAGGCCACATACGGTCTCTGTTGCATATTCTTTCATTTTTTACAACCTGGTAAAATATGTAAAAACCATTTTTAGCTCTCAGGCTGTATGTCCAGAAACATCCCGGGGCTAGATTTGGCTTGAAGTTTATAGTTTGCAGACTCCTGATCTAAGGTCTATAGAGATACTGATATTACTTGATTTATTGTCAGGGAAACATATGAGCATTGGTTTTCAAACTTATTTTTTTTTTTAGCAGCAAACCCATTTTTCAGATAGCATATTAAATGAAACCTTCAACTATAAAATAGATAAAGGTAAAAAGAACAAACTATAGCTTGTTTGAATATATCATGGGGCCTCCCACGATACAATATGAATACCAGTGATAGAGAGTGCTGGATGAAGAATAATGAAGGTTTGTCTGTTATCACTGTGTTAGAATTGGGTGTTAATAAAAGATTCTGTTTGTCAAATATTTTGTAACCTTTTAATAGCAGAGTCCTAGAAATAAGAATTCCACTTCAGGGACCTGGTTAATGAACTGTAACTGATTTTGACTGTCTTTATTTTAAACACCTTTTCAGGTCTTCTCTCTATTGAATATTTTAAGAAATCAGCATTTAAATATATAAGGAACTTTAAACTGTTTCTTATAGCGTGCATGTAGTAAATGCTGTTAAATCTGCATACATGAATTCATCTGAATCAGATTGATAGCATACTCCCGAGATCTTTTAACCAAATAAGCCAGATACTCAGTGTTGCTTTTCATTTTTAATATTGATTTTGTCACAGGGACATGATGATGAAGTATTTGTTTTGGAAGCACACCCATTTGATCAAAAGATCATACTTTCGGCAGGTCATGATGGGAACATTTTTATTTGGGACCTTGACCGGGGGACCAAAATTCGGAATTATTTTAACATGGTAAGGTAAATCTATGCTTAGTTGATATTAAAACAGACTTCTCTTATGTGACAACTTGGTAATTAAAGTATACTTAGTGCCAAGGAACCTTTTGTCATCTGTTTAAATCCATGTAATAACTTAGAGAATGACTCAAGACCCAAGAGTAAGGCCAGTTGAGAATTATGCCTTTCTGGGTGTCTCTGTTATTGTGGTGTTAGCACTTTCCAAATTCTTGTTCCCAGCTCTTAATTCTAGAAACTCAAATTTAATAAGCATTTGGAGCTAACACTAACCAAAATCACAAAAAAGTTAATGTTTAAACTATAATCCTAATTAATGAATCACAACAGTAACTGTATTGTATCTGTCTCTGTTAAGCCACATATAGCTTAGTTAGTAATCAGAAAGCTGTTTGGCACACATGGAATTGGAGATATGGATACTTCTAAGATATATTTCATACAAACTATGGAAAAATATGGTGAGCCATCTCTTCTTCCAGTAGAACACCCTCCTGTGGTGATGGGAATACTCATATTCACCATATTTAGTGTTTCTTTCTGAAGAATAGTTCTGACTAAACGTTTCTAAATTGTTGGCCTTTGAGCTCCCTTTTATAGGCTTTATACAGATTCAGAGTGTTAATAATAACCCTCTGCCTGTGTTAGTGAGATTGATTTGTGTACTTTAATTTTAGGATGGTTCTTTTAAAACTTGCATTACAATTATATATGAAGATAATATCTTGACTTTGCTGAAATAGTGCCTTTGTCAATTTGGTTGTGTTTAGGTCTTTTTTATTCTCCTCAGTCATTCATGCAGTTCTTCTTCAGAAATGACATTGCTAGTAATGTTTGTTGTGAAATTCTCCGTAATTTCTTTTAGAGCTTTACTATTACAGTAGGGTTCTGGCTGCTGAAGTCAGAGAGTACATTGGAATGTTGATGCATCACAGAATCCAAGATATTAGCAAGCAGAAGCTATTGACCACTTATTATTTGAAAATTACCTCTTAAGATGACTTAAAATGACTCTTTTAAATTTCAGATTGAAGGTCAAGGCCATGGTGCAGTGTTTGACTGTAAATTTTCACCAGATGGAAACCATTTTGCCTGCACTGATTCTCATGGGCATTTGCTGCTTTTTGGATTTGGATGCAGTAAATACTATGAAAAGGTTAGTATATTTAATTTTTGTTGTAGATTGCAATTTTTTATTGTATTGTTCATAAATTTTATTTGAAATATTCCAGTTAATAAGGGTCACTCTGTGTCATTAGATATAAAATAACAAAGTCACCTTTTTTGGTAAAATTTTTTTCATCACTGACAGAACATAAAGCTTGGCAGTTCAAATTACTATTAAGATATAGGATGATGTAGATATAAAAATTCATTAGGAGGGTCTTCCCTGGTGGCACAGTGGTTAAGAATCCGCCTGCCAATGCAGGGGACATGGGTTCGAACCCTGGTCTGGGAAGATCCCACATGCCACGGAGCAACTAAGCCCATGCGCCACAACTACTGAAGCCTGTGCTCTAGAGACCATAAGCCACAACTACTGAGCCTGTGTGCCACAACTACTGAAGTCCGTGCACCTAGAGCCCATGTTCTGCAACGAGAGAAGCCACCACAATGAGAAGCCTGCACACTGCAATGAAGAGTAGCCCCCACTTGCCACAGCTAGAGAAAGCCCGCACACAGCAATGAAGACCCAACACAGCCAAAAATAAATAAATTAAATTAAAAAATAAATTTAAAAAATTTCATTAGGAAATCCTTTTGCTTACAACATATTCTCTGTACTGCCTTTCAGGTGTAATAAGAGAACAATTTTACCAGATTACATCCTCTACTTATCCTAAGTTGGGAATAAACAGCTGGTGACTGAATGCTTATTTTCTTGCTTGGCTACTTTACCTATTATTGATCTTGTTAAAATACTTTGGAAGCTAACTTAATTGGTTTCTTATATTTTAGTAGCTGTGACTTTAGGATAGATTATAGAATCTTGGAGTTGGAAAAGAGCTTAGAATCTTTGAGTTCAGCTCAATACTTGTATCACCTTTGAGTGTCTTTCATGCAATTGATATTTACCTGCCTCACCATTTATATTATACTCCATCTATTCTTATTTGAATAAAAATAAGCAAGTAAAATAGTTATAAAAGTTTGTATTTTTTTTTGCAACTTAAAAAATAACTAACTTTATCTACTGTGTTGTTGCTTTGCTTCTTCTTATCCTGATTGGAAAAATACAATATTGGAGGGCCAGAAAGTAATATAGATTGTAGAGTTTTGTGGAGAAAAGATAGGATTATGATCTAGGTGATTCACTTCTACCTAGAGGGAACATATGACTATAGAGGACTATAAAGATAATGCAGAAATTGTCTGATTTGAAAAACACATGTGCTCTAGGAATGAAAATAAATGCTTATTTATAAATTTCCTGTGCATATTAAATACTAAAAATCTGTCATAAAGATTCCAGATCAGATGTTCTTCCATACGGATTATCGACCTCTTATCCGTGATGCCAACAACTATGTATTGGATGAACAAACCCAACAAGCTCCTCATCTCATGCCTCCCCCATTCTTGGTGGATGTTGATGGAAATCCTCATCCCACAAAATTCCAAAGGCTAGTACCAGGACGGGAAAATTGTAAAGATGAACAGCTTATACCACAGCTGGGATATGTGGCTAATGGTATGTTCTCTACAAAATTAAATTTAAAACATTTTGCAAAATGTTATACTTGCTCCTGTTCTCTCTATAATATATCCCCATGCTAAACTCTAATATATATAATATATCCCCATGTAGTAGGTTATACTATATTTTACCTAATACTTTATTAATTTTCAGTTGCACAGAACTTTTTATCTTACCAGAGTACTTTTACACTGTTTTTCTCACCTGGACACAGATAAATGGACTAGGACAAACAAGAGTACACTCAAACAGAGAATGTGTTGACCTGCTTTCTTAGAACCCTGAACATATGTATGATCCTGTTGTTTATAGTATTGACTTCTAGTGATGATTAAATGTACTAACTTTAATGTGTCAAGCTTTTATAATTGGTGAAATTCCACTGCTCATAATATTAGTATTCTAATTTGACAGTACATAGTTAATGGACTGAAGAAGAGGAAATTTCAAGAACTACAAACTGGTAAATGGCTGTTTACCCAACCTCATGTTTGAAATGTAAAGAATTATTGAGTTTTGGGGTGGGGGATGCTGAGTGTTTAAATAACACTCAACCTTGGAGGATATTGAAGCAGTGATGAGTGTGATGCATGATGGCAACATAGCAGAAAAAGACATTGAAAAAAGATATTCTCTATTAAAGCAACCCTTCTGGTTGGCATATTTCCCTTAGGTATGCTGCCTCCACACCACCCCCCATGCCAGAATGCCTTCATACCTTAGTTTGTTACTTGTAGGTTTTCTTCCAAGTATGAAGTAATGAGTTATTTATTTGCAAATGGAATTTTTTTCCCTTTTTTTTTTTTTTGAATATTTTGGCTGTGCCATGTGGCATGCGGGATGTTTCCCCAACCAGGAATTGAACCCAGGCCTCCACAGTGAGAGCACTGAATCCTAACCACTAGGCCACCAGGGGACTCCTGCAAATGGAATTTTATATCCTTACTAGGGAATTAAGACTTAACCTTTCTAGAATGAAATGTTGCATATCCTTTTTTATTGTCTCTCTCATAAAGATTTGTAGAGCAATGAAATGGTGTTACACATGTGCCAATAGTTATTATTAAGTAAGGGGGAAAAGCATGAATATTAATAGGAGATAAAACTGAAAGCATTTGAATAAAAAAATCTGTAATTCATATTTTACTTTCAATAGGACCTGATCACTTGGCTACTCTACTAGATGCCATTTAATCTGACTAGAGGACAAGATGAAAAATAGGCCTAAGATGTATTTAAGAAAGAAAAAGATCATAGAAGTAAATAAGTTTTTATTCAGATGTAATCATTGAATTTCATTATAAGAAATAATTTCTATACTCATCCATATACTGAGGTATATCAAAAGAGACAATATTTGAAAGACCATAATTGATTTCTTTCAGAAAGGAAATTCTCACGAAAGATGCAAAGCATTTTTGGTATTTTCAGTTAAACTTATTAAAACCTTACTCAAATCTCTACTCCCAACTTTTAGCTTGGAATATTCTATAGAGAAAATTCATTTTTAAGTTAATAATTTAATAATTTTCCTTTAAGGTGAGAAGGCTCTCATAATAATGTCTAGTTTGGGGACATTGGTTAAGTTAAACACACAAGCTGACATATTTAAAAGTTCTTTAAAAAATATTTTGTTTGCTATACGTTTTATTTTCATTTTAATCCCTTTAAAAATATTTGTCTAGAAACTTATAGATTAAGCTTGATTTTACTATATTTATGGTACACTGAAATGTAAATAATTTTGTGGCTTTATATCTTTGGTCCAATTAAGGTGATGGTGAAGTAGTAGAACAGGTAATTGGGCAACAAACCAATGACCAAGATGAGAGCATTCTTGATGGAATAATCAGGGAGTTACAAAGAGAACAAGATCTGAGGCTAATTAATGAAGGAGATGTTCCACATTTTCCAGTAAATAGATCATATTCTTCTAGTGGTGGTAAGTATGTGTATATTTGTAAAAGGTATGATGAATGTACTTTAATTATTTTACTTGTACCAAGTAATTACATGTGAGGAACATTTTAGGTTTTTAAATAAAAGCAACATTTTTGTTAATTTACAGTTGTGATATGATACACTAAAGTGCCATACTCTCATTATCATTTGGGGCTAAAGTGATTTAGCATCTCCTAAGGAATATAGATGGTGTATTTTATTTTGTTTTTTGGGTTTTTTTCGGTACCAATAAGTCTTTATTCATTGTATTTTCCCAAGGAAAAGAAGGGGAAGGGGAAAGGGTCAGCATGTGTGTTACAAAATGATAGCAAATGGGAAAGGAAGTACCTGGCACAGCAAAATCAACCAACAAATAAACACTGCCCAGATGGGGTCGCCAAAGCCCAAGGGGGCTCAGTCTCCTGCAGTTCAGTAATGAGGGGAAGGGATGAAGAACAGGTACATGCTTTTCTACCCTCACTCCCTCCCCATAAATTCAAGACTTCACACAAAGCTTTGGTTTCTAGCAGTAAACATGGAGTTACATTCATCCGTCTCCTATTAAACAATTTTGTGGCCACTTTGACATAAGTTTCTTGCACCTGCATAAAAGTCCCTGAGTGACTTGGCTATACATTCATCTTTCCTTTCGTGGTCTCCCAACCCCACTTTCTACATGGAAGGCCCCCTCGTTGCTCCTCTCTACCCCAGGATTAGAGATTAAAGTAGGTTTTGATCCATCCAAAGACAGCAGTCTGTTTGGCATGAATCAAATCAAGGAATGGTCATGACTCAGGAGATTGAGAACAAGGGATGGTGAGTTCTTAGCTTCTTCAGGATTTTTGCACAAATCATTTAATCACAGACACCCCACAAATTAAACGTATAGGTGTATGGACTATTTTTGGGGAGGGCACGAAGGGAGAAAGAAGAGGGGGTGGGAATACAGTTTTTAGGACAGAAGATCTTGTTCGAAATAGGAAACAGGGAAGGGGAACACAAAAGAAAGTGTAGTTCAAGACCTCCCACTTCAAGAAGAGGGGCCCCCAAGTTTATGTTTCAGATCTTTTTGGCTGGTGCAGACCTTTTGTCAAAGATGCTTTGGCTGTTTTTCTCAATATAAAAAGAAGTTTGTAAACAATAAAACCCCAAAAGAACATGGAGAAGACCAACACATTATATTTACACAAACTAGGCCACCTAGCAATCACCAAATCAGCTACTTGTGAAGTCCTACAAAGTCCAGACAAATACAATAACGAGAGGGGGGCAGCAATTGGGGGAGACAAGAACCCAGGATCAGACACACATCACCCAATGCGTTCTATTGCATTTGCCCCATTACAACACAGTGAGGTAGGTTTGCAGTGATCTCACAGCATGTAAATGAAACCCCCTTTTCTCCTTTAGCTACCATGACACTAATTACTGCTTCAGCAGGGCAGGACACTGGCTCTTGGAACCACAAAGAAGCCATCACTGATGGTCTCTCTGGAAACCAAGGAGGAAAGTCCAGAATTGCTAAAGATTAAGGATCTTGTCCTTGCTTCATATATCCATCCCTGGGCAGCTCAAGATGGGTACAGAGGCATCATTCTTAAAACCTGTCCTTACCAACTCACAGTTTTTACAAAAACACATACAATATACCCTGTTGTGTATGTTAGGCCTAGCCCAATCCACTGAAGGATGGACCTGGTATGTAAAGTGAGTCCTATGCCCTGGGATTAGAGGTCTGGAACAGGAATCCTTTATCACACATACGGATAACCTCTGCCTAATCTTGGCTTCCTCTCTCTGCACCTTTTACCTGGCCCAGCCTCTCCTAACCTCTCTGTACCACCTTTTCCTGTTCAGACCAATTTCCAATCTTTCAGTAGAAGGAGACCAAGCCATGGGGCAACCCAGTTAAAACCTAGTCTCCCGTGAAACATTGAAGATGGCTGGTGACTCGGATAGATTCCAAGAGGACACTGTGGCAGAAAAGCCAGCTCTAATTGGCAAAAATGAGGTAGTTCAATAGGCTTTATGCTCCAAATAGTTGTTCTCTCTAGTGATAGAGCAACAAAAAGTATTCCTGCTGTGCCCGGAGCTGCTGCCGACTTATCCCTGAGATTGCTCATGTACCTGAGAACACAGTGCAGGAATGAGGGCCTTAGATTAAAATACACAAAAATACAAAACCAGAATATTTATATTATGAAAAAAAGTTAAAATGCACAAGATATGTCATTCGCACACAGCTAGTGCAGTTGGCATCCTGAAGAAAGTGGGACCCAAGGTACAGTCATCCAAGGGAGCAAATAAATAAAATTGTATTGGCCCAGAATGGGGTGGGAGTGAGCTTAGAAGCAGCAGGTCTGCATTTGTTCCCTCAACCCCCCTTTTGCCTATCATCACAACCCACTGCTTGGGACAGTTCTCTCAGCACTCTCTCCCAGGAGGAAGTTGTGAGCAGACAAGATGTGGAAAACCCTGCCTTACCCCTGAGATATTTCCTCCCACAGAATGTAGTGGCTTGTGGGTTGGGTCCATCAATCTGGTCTCATGCTTAATCTTTTCACTCTGGCACGGGAAACATTATTCCATATCCTTCGTAAAGAGTAAAACAATTTCCCTATCCAGGCCACTTTCAAAAGCTGGAGATTCTGGGGGTGGAGACTCAGATAAAGCATGCAGGAAGGTTTACCCCCCCAAAGCCCTCATGTGTATTTGGATAGACCATGATTGGAGTTTTTTTGCCTCACCCCTTCCCCCCACCAAGAGGGAAGAGGGGGTGACGCTTTGGTCCCCGGCCTGAGATATATGGCAGTGCCAGCTGCCCCCTACCCACCCTGTCCCCACTTTCTCCACTCTGCCGATTGATGCCTGTTCCTCAAAACTTTCTGATCACAAACGGATAGCCTCCACCCACTGTGGCTCAATTCTGGGCCTCTGGGAGCATGGCAGGGCTATGGATCTCTTCCTCCTCCCAAAAGTAGGCTGGCTTTCCCTGTGAGCTGGGAGCTTGCCTGGCCTTCGGTGGACACGAGGCTCCCATATGGTTGATGCTCTGGCAGAAGTGCCACTTCTTGGGCTGGGGTGGCAGTTTGCATTCCTTGGTATGATGGTCTAGACCTCCACAGTTGTAGCACCTGTCTCCCTTTGATCTGCGTTTCTGCATGTTCTTCTCTTTGGGCCGCCTCTCACTACCAATACAGAACACCCCACCAGGGCCGGTGACTTGGATAGATTCCAGGCCCTTGGCAGACTTCTTAAAGGTGCACTCTACGGCCTCACCCTCCTTCAGGCTCCGGAAGCCCTCCATGTGCAGCTTACTCTGGTGCACAAAGACATCCACCGGGGGGGTCGAGTGCGACCCCGGCGCGGGCAGTCACAGGAAGCCGAATCCCATGCGCACGTTGAATCACTTACAGATGCCGGCTCCGTGCAGCAGCTGCAGCTCCTCGGCCGCCCGGGCGAGTCCTCCTGCGCCTCCTCCGGCGCCTTGGCGCCGCCACCTGCAAACTGCTGGTTTGACACAGAGCCCATGGTAGTCAGCTGAGCCCGCGGCCCCGGGCCCCAGGTCGGCCAGCTGCTGGCCCCAGAGAAGTCCGGAAGCAAAGGGGTGGCTCGGAGAAGAGGCTGCTACATCTTCCCCTGCACAATAGCGGTGGGAGGGCCCCTATTTTGTTTTTATAAATTTATTTCATTTATTTACTTTTGGCTGCGCTGGGTCTTCATTGCCGCGTGCAGGTTTTCTCTAGTTGCAGTGCGCGGGCTTCTCATTACAGTGGCTTCTCGCGTTCTGGAGCACGGGGTCTAGGCGTGTGGGCCTCAGTAGTTGTGGCATGTGGCCTCAGCAGCTGTGGTTCACAGGCTCTAGAGTGCAGGCTCAGCAGTTGTGGGCTTAGTTGCTCCGCGGCAATATAATATATATATATATATATATATAATATACTGTTTTCTGTTAACTGAGTTATGTATTTGCAGTCTTTACTTTTGTTCTAATAAGCAAGGTGCTACAATAAGTCCAGCCCCTTCTAGGGGAACCAACCTAAAAGTTTTCAAAATTAAAATTTAAAAATTAATAAATTAATTAATTAATACCAAAAGAAATTTGTCCTCCTTTGTTGAAAAGGAAGCAACATATCACCTGTCTCTCGAGTTTACCAAAATACACTGGAAGACAAGAAGCCCTCTTCTTAGGGAATACAGATACAACTTTTTTTTTTTTTTTTTTTTTTTTTTTTTTTTTTTTTTTTTTTTGCGATACGCGGGCCTCTCACTGTTGTGGCCTCTCCTGTTGCGGAGCACAGGCTCTGAACACGCAGGCTCAGCGGCCATGGCTCACTGGCCCAGCCGCTCTGCGGCATGTGGGATCTTCCCGGAGCAGGGCACGAACCCTCGTCCCCTGCATCGGCAGGCGGACTCTCAACCACTGCACCACCAGGGAAGCCCCAGATACAACTTCTTAATTGACTTTGACAAGTTTGATTCTAATTGCCAGTATTATTCCAATCTATTGTATGTCTTCCTTCACTTTACATGAAGTGTGTCTATGCATCTGAGTTTTATATAATCTTAGCCTATGTCAGTTTTACTTTTATCAAGAACTATTAGTTCTGTTTAAAATGCAGTCCTCATATGGGATTTTGGCAAATGTGTTTCTTTTGATATTTACATAATTGAGATCATTTATTTGGGTATTGTGACATTTTGGAGTCCACAGAAATGAATAAGGTGATTTAAATTTGAGGTGATTCACAGGGTCTTTTACTCATTTCCTGATTTCTTTAGTATCCCATAAAATTAAAATAAAAACATTCTTTGTTCATGTCATTTGGAGCACCTAGGTCAGATAAGCTTTCCTTAACCTGGAACAAGATAAGAAGTGGGCTGATAATCTTATATATCCAGGCCTTTTTTTCCTAAGACATAAAAATTTCTTAGAACCCTGATTTAGAGGTCAGTAATTTCAATGCTAGGTTTCTGTGGTTAGATTTGAAATGCAGTTAGTCAAAGGGACCCCACTGACTTCTCTTTGCAATGTTCTTTTTTTTTTTTCTGGTGCTTATTTTAACAGTTTAATGTTTCAGTTTCCACTTTTGTTTTATTTGCAATTACAACAAAAGTAAACAGGGACCTTACTGGAGGATTAAAAACAAAAGTAAAATTTCTATTGCTTATTTCCCCTTTCTTTCATTCCTTATCAATTTTGAAAATGAAATTTTGATAGTTTAAATTTTTTTTTAATATTTTTTCGTACTATTTTTGAAAGCTTTATTGGAGTTCTATTCAAAAACCTTTTAATGGGCTAAATAAAGGTAGAATTTAGATTAAAAAGCTGCTTTCTGAACTAGTACTAATAACATTTATGAATATACCAAATATGTTAAATACACCTTTTGTATTTACTGAGCATTTAGTAGATGACAGATGTGAAAGTCCTCTGAAAAAAATTAAAAGCACTATAGAGACAGTAAACATTTATTGAGTGCCTGCTTTATCTATAAGGCTGTAAAAACCATAAAGGGGGTACAGAAAATGTATAAAAAAGGGATAGCAATATTGTCCAGCAGTACTGTCTTTGAATCTCCTATTTTATTTAGAGCTCTGATCTGGAAGAGTTTGGTGCCTTTGCTGAGAGAGTGGTGCCTTCCTTTGTTTTTGTTGTAGCTCTGAGGAATCCAAATATGGACATATCTTCTTCCCCAAACATTGGACTCCGACGTAGTGGTCAAATTGAAGGTGTCCGACAAATGCATAACAATGCTCCTAGAAGCCAGATGGCCACTGAAAGAGACCTCATGGCATGGAGCAGAAGAGTGGTGGTCAATGAACTAAATAATGGAGTTAGTAGGTGAGTCAATATGGTAACATTCTTTTTGAGTAAGTAAATTAAAATGTACTCTTTTTGACCAACCTCCTAGAGAAATGGAAATAAAAACAAAAATTAACAAATGGGACCTAATGAAAATTAAAAGGTTTTGCACAGCAAAGGAAACCATAAACAAGTTGAAAAGACAACCCTCAGAATGGGAGAAAATATTTGCAAATGACGGAACTGACAAAGGATTAATCTCCAAAATTTATAAGCAGCTCATGCAGCTGAATATCAAAAAAACAAACAACCCAATCCAAAAATGGTCAGAAGACCTAAATAGACATTTGCCCAAAGAAGATATACAGATTGCCAAGAAACACATGAAAGAATGCTCAACATCACTAATCATTAGAGAAATGCAAATCAAAACTTCAGTGAGGTAGAGAAATGCAAACCAAAACTTCAGTGAGGTATCATCTCCCACCAGTCAGAATGACCATCACCAAAAAATCTACAAACAATAAATGCTGGAGAGAGTGTGGAGAAAAGGGAACCCTCTTGCAATGTTGGTGGGAGTGTACATTGATACAGCCACTATTGAGAACAGTATGGATGTTCACTAAAAAACTAAAAATAAAGCTACCATACAACCCAGCAATCCCACTACTGGGCATATACCCTGAGAAAACCATAATTCAAAAAGAGTCATGTACCACAGTATTCATTGCAGCTCTATTTACAGTAGCCAGGACATGGAAGCAACCTAAGTGTCCATCGACAGATGAATGGATGAAGAAGATGTGGCACATATATACAATGGAATATTACTCAGCCATAAAAAGAAACAAAATTGAGTTATTTGTAGTGAGGTGGATGGACCTGGAGTCTGTCACACAGAGTGAAGTAAGTCAGAAAGAGAAAAGCAAATACCATATGTTAACACATATATATATGGAATCTAAAAAAAACACAAAAGTGGTTCTGAAGAACCTAGGGCCAAGACAGGAATAAAGACACAGATGTAGAGAATGGACTTGACATGGGGAGGGAGAAGGGTAAGCTGGGATGAAGTGAGAGAGTGGCATCGACTTATATACAGTACCAAATGTAAAATAGATAGCTAGTGGGAAGCAGCCGCATAGCACAGGGAGATCAGCTCGGTGCTTTGTGACCACCTAGAGGGGTGGGATAGGGAGGGTGGGAGGGAGACCCAGAGGGAGGAGATATGGGGATATATGTATACATATAGCTGATTCACTTTGTTATAAAGCAGAAACCAACACACCGTTGTAAAGCAATTATACTCCAATAAAGATGTTAAAAAAAAAATAAAATGTACTATGTTAGGCTATTAACTAAGGTATTTTTCTTTAATTTAGCTGAGCCATGCATTAGTTTTTCCACATTATTTCATTAGTTCGTTCCATAACAACTATTTAAAGATTATCTTAAATTTGCTTGGCTTTGTGGTAAATGTTTTGGGGAATACTGAAAAATGAAAAAAACATAATCTCTGTCTTCTTTGAATTTATAGTCTAGGTTAGAAGATATGAAAAAATACTATTAAGTAAGAACATGAGGCCATATGTGATTAAATATGTCAGTGATACATGGACCCAATATTCAACAGTGGTTCTGAGGAAACTCAGAATTGGAGCAGTTTGGGAGTGCAGTATAGGTATGTAGTAGACCCAGTGCTTAGCATATATTTAGAAATATCATTTAAGTAGACTTCTTTGGATGAAAGGATTTCATTAGGATGAATTTCAAACTTAGAATCCCTATCCTTATTTGTAAACCTTAACATTTACTGTAATATTGACTCCAGATGATGCACAGTAACTAGAAATAGATTTGGAAAACAGAAAGGACATTGACAGAGAACATAGAAATTCCATTCAAATCATGATATCTTTCTAGCAAAACCTTTTTACCAGCTGAACCAACAAGTAGCAAAATTAATTTGCTTTCACCTTTTCTTTCTTTAGCAGTAATAAGAAAAGGGAGACATAGCTAATATATGAACTGAATGCTACCCGCTGGCAGTAGAACAATATGAAATAATTCTCTGTTCAAAACGTTAGAAGTAGAATTGAAAGCAGGGACTCAGATACTTGTATGCCAATGTTTATTGTAGTATTATTTCATAATAGCTGAATTGTAGAAACAATCCAAGTGTCTGTCAACAGATTAATGGATAAATAAAGTGTGATATATACATACAGTGGAATATAATTCAGCCATAAAAACTTCTGATACTTGCTATAACATGGATAAACATGGAAAACATAATGCTTAGTGAAATCAGCCAGACACAAAAGGGCAAATATTGTATAATTCCACTTACATGAAATATCTAGAGTAGGCAAATTAATAGAGACAAAGTAGAATAGAGGTTAGCAGGGGCTGGTGAAAGGAGAAATAAAGAGTTATTGCTTAATGGTTACAAAGTTTATGTTTGGAGTGATGAAAAAGTTTTAGAAATAGTGATGATGGTTACACAACATTGTAAATGTCATTAATACCACTGAGTTACATACCTAAAATGGTTTAAATGTCCAATTTTATATTTAAAAGTTTTTGTTATTCTATTTATTTTGAATTTTTGAATTTTATTTTATTTATTTTTTTATACAGGAAGTTCTTATTAGTCATCAATTTTATACACATCAGTGTATACATGTCAATCCCAATCTCCCAATTCATCACACCCCCCCCCCCACCACCCCTGCCGCTTTCCCCCCTTGGTGTCCATACGTTTGTTCTCTACATCTGTGTCTCAATTTCTGCCCTGCAAACCAGTTCATCTGTACCATTTTTCTAGATTCCACATATATGCGTTAATATACGATATTTGTTTTTCTCTTTCTGACTTATTTCACTCTGTATGACAGTCTCTAGATCCATCCATGTCTCAACAAATGACCCAATTTCATTCTTTTTTATAGCTGAATGATATTCCATTGTATATATGTACCACATCTTCTTTATCCATTCGTCTGTCGATGGGCATTTAGGTTGCTTCCATGACCTGGCTGTTGTAAATAGTGCTGCAATGAACATTGGAGTGCATGTGTCTTTTTGAATTATGGTTTTCTCAGGGTATATGCCCAGTAGTGGGATTGCTGGATCATATGGTAATTCTATTTTTATTTTATTACGGAACCTCCATAGTGTTCTCCATAGTGACTGTATCAATTTACATTCCCACCAACAGTGCAAGAGTGTTCCCTTTTCTCCACACCCTCTCCAGCATTTGTTGTTTGTAGATTTTCTGACGATGCCCATTCTAACTGGTGTGAGGTGATACCTCATTGTAGTTTTGATTTGCATTTCTCTAATAATAAATAAACCATTGGTTTGCTCTTTGATGATTTTCTGTTACTTTGACCTTTGATTTGTTATTAGGGTTCAGGAAGAATGTCGAACTGCTAAAGGTGACATAGAAATCAGTCTTTATACAGTCGAAAAGAAGAAAAAGCCATCTTATGCTACCCAAAGGGTAAGTTTAGCTTTACAGTACTTTGCAATACACTATTTGTAAATATTTGCAGATACCAGGATTTTGAAAGGTGGAAGTTATGTATTAAGGGATTATTTCGATAGGTGTCTGTATATAGGGAAACTATTTTTTTTAAACCCCAAATGGAGATATATGGTTATTATTTATAAGGATAAAATTACTCAAAGTTAGAACTATCCACCCAAATCTAGTATATGTGGTCATTGTAGGTATAAGATATTTGTATTAAAATACCATTTTCATATGGTTAAAGTAGAACTTTAAAATTAATGCTGTATCACTAATCACAATGTAAAACAAATGTTCAGATACCCTAGGCCGGAGGTTGGCAAACTGCCCATGGACTAAATCTGGCCTACTGCCTATTCCTATTAATAAAGTTTTATTGGAGCACAGCCATACCTATTCATTTATATATTGTCTATGATTGCTTTCATGCTATGTGGAGTTGAGTAGTTGCCACAGAGATCATATGACCTGCAAAGCCAAAATATTTGTACTCTGGCCCTATACAGAAAAAATTTGCTGACCCCTGCCCTAGGCTTACTCCTGGCCTACCTAATTAGACAGGAGCAAAATCTGTTCTATATACATTAGGAAGATTCATATTCCCAGTAGAAACTGCTAATCAGGGAATAAGATTCCTGTACTCCATTAGGTGCATGTTATGCCCCTTACTAGTGCTCTGAGTTTGAACAAACTAGTGGCATAAGAATATAGTTTTGTTCCCAGAACTAATAACTATAACTCCTGAAGAGTATGGTAAATTGGAAAGTCTAGGTTGATTTTAATCTTATTAAGGAAATATAAGCAATGGGTACTGAATTTTAAGTGTCTTTTCAGTATTGATAAATACAATTTCAGGTAATTATTATATGAATATCTCTAAATATTCTTAGATCATTTTGATACCCACTTTCTTAATTTCCATTCAGATTTTATTAGCTTATATGATGTTCTCTGATAAAATTATTTTCTTAGAGATTTTGAATGACTCACATCCATGATTTATATTCTTTTTTCCTGCTAAGCTGATTTATCAAACATCAGACTTGTCTGAGACTAATAAACAGGGTAGTTGGATCTGTAAACATTTTTATTTATATTGAAAATGAGAAACATTTACATGTAAGATAAGAAACTGGCCCTTGATACTGATTTAGAAGACCTTTAAGCTTGTATACCCCTGATGACATATTAGGGTTATAGTTTTGACATATGGTATATCAGTAATAATATTTTATACTTGTAAATGGTAGAATAAAACAGTTTTTACTTTACATTTTTGTTATTAAAAATTAAATTTTTATTTTGACTCGTTTACTAAATGTAGTTTTTTATAGAACTAAAGAAATACATGTTATATTAAGAATTATATATACACATACATATGATATAGATATCTTGCTTCATCCTGTAATAAATTATAGATAATATGGTATATGTAAATTCTGAGTGGGCAGATTCTTGCAGCTTAGAATTTCAGCACTGTCTTTAATTTGATCACAAAGTTTTCAAAATATGGAAAGTAATCAGTATTAATGGGAGTGGGTTAAATATATAAAAATGAAGAATATTTTGGAGCTTCCCCGGTGGCGCAGTGGTTGAGAGTCCACCTGCCAATGCAGGAGACACGGGTTCATGCCCCGGTCCGGGAAGACCCCACATGCCGCGGAGCGGCTGGGCCCGTGAGCCATGGCCGCTGAGCCTGCGCGTCCGGAGCCTGTGCTCCACAATGGGAGAGGCCACAACAGTGAGAGGCCCGTGTACCGGACACACACACAAAAAAAAGAAGTATATTTTTTATGTAAAAACATAGTATAAAAATATATCTTGGGTTTTCTTTTAGGGAATTTATTCCTATCTCTCACCTCCACCCTCACTCCAAACCAAGCCCAATTGATTCTCTTTATATGTGTTTTTTTGTGTATATTCACTGAGCCTTTCATTTTTTAAAATTTATTTTCCTTCTGTTTTATAGAATGATTATCCGCCTAGCTGTGGGCGGTCTTTACGAAGGACACAACGCAAACGTCAGCATACTTACCAAACACGATCCAACATAGAGCATAATTCACAAGCATCATGTCAAAATTCAGGTGTACAGGAAGACTCAGATAGCTCCTCAGAGGTTAGATATCTGCTATTATTTACTCAATGTAATTTTTTGTTTCCCAGTTAGTGTCATCACTTTGGGTTTACTTTTTTAAAAAATTTTTCAACTAGGTTTAATAACATGAGACTATCAATGAGGTCAATATCCGAGACCTTGTAAAATCACAAAGAAGTTAAGGCATATCTGATACCTAGATTCCTTTTCAAAGTTCTTTTTTTCTATGAAAGGCTGAAAATCGACATATCATGAAAGAAATAACAATTTGATAAACTTTGGGTTTACTTTTAAGGGTCAGTTTAATAGAAAATTATTTTAATGACTTTCTTATGAGTATTATTTATTAATAAGGCATTTAATAGGCAAATTTGAGCATTATATTGAATTCCTTTAGATATCTTCTCTTATTTGTACCTAAGATATTATCTTGGTTGAGGGTATCAAACATGCCAGGAAAAGTTTGGCTTTGGGACAGTAAGAAAAGAGAGTGAGAGCAAATCTGCCCAGAAATGGAAAGAAGTGGAATATTAACTGTGATAACTAGTTATACAGTTCCAGAACTTGTTGACTGTGTAATAATAATATACATGTTTTCTGTTATTGTTGACTTTACGAGTCATGGAGATTACTGAGTGATGATTTTTTTCAGACCTACCTTTTTCATGGTAATGAAATAAAGACTATAGCAGTTCTTTTCCACATGTTCCTCTCTTCTCCAGTCCTTTCCTTTTGTTCTCTTAATAACTGTAGTATTTAAGTGAATAATGAGGGTTTAATTATGCATTGATAATGTATGGTACCCTCATTCTTCTCCCACCATTCACAATTCTTTAACTCTTATCAATGATATCCCTCCTTCTCTCCCCCCACCCATGAAAATCTTGATCTGAAAAGAATGATCACGTATTCAAGACTATCATACAGAGTGAAGTAAGTCAGAAAGAGAAAAACAAATATTGTATATTAACACATATATGTGGAATCTGAAAAATTGGTATAGACAATCTTATTTACAAAGCAGAAATAGAGACAGACGTAGTGAACAAACATATGGATAACAAGGGGGAAGGGGGGGTGGGATGAACTGGGAGATTGGGATTGACATATAAACACTATTGATATGTATGGAATAGATGGCTAATGAGGACCTACTGTATAGCATGGGGAACTCTACTCAGTGCTCTGTGGTGACCTGGATGGAAAGGAAATCCAGAGGGGAGGGGATATGTGTGTGTGTGTATGGCTGGTTCACTTTGCTGTACAGTAGAGGCTAGCACAACATTGTAAAGCAACTGTACTCCAATAAAAATAAAAAAAAAAAAACAACTATTGCCTCTGAGCCATGGACTTAAAAGAATTAAAACAAAAAGACATTGAATGTAGATGGATTAAAGAGTCCTGTTGCATGAGTGTCACTAAGACAGATAGGCAAGGAGAAATTCAGGGCAACGTAGCAATTTAAGATGGTTAAGAAAATTAAAAATACATGAAAAAGAAGAAGAGAAGAAAAATGAAGATTACTTGGTACAGAGTTTGTTGTTCAAAGGATGTGGTACTTTGACAAGAGTACCAACACCAAAAGTAGATTGGTGGCTGCCAGGGGCTTGAGGTAGTGGGGAGTGAGGGGTCCTTGCTAATGGGTTTAGGGATTATTTTGGGGGTGATGAAAGTGTTCTAATATTAGTGGTGATGGTTGAACAGCTCTGAATATACTAAAAACCATTGAACTGTGTACTCTGAAGGGGTGAAATTTATGGTATGTGAGATCTATCTCAATAAAACTTATTAAAAAAGAAAAAGAAAATAATTGTTATCTTTTTAATGTAATAATTGTGTTGTGGTTATGTTTTTAAAAAGAATCATTATCTTGGGCTTCCCTGGTGGCGCAGTGCTTGAGCGTCCGCCTGCCGATGCAGGAGACGCGGGTTTGTGCCCCGTTTCGGGAAGATCCCACATGCCGCGGAGCGGCTGGGCCCTTGAGCCATGGCCACTGAGCCTGCGTGTCCGGAGCCTGTGCTCCGCAAATGGGAGAGGCCACAACAGTGAGAGGCCCGCATAACGCAAGAAAAAAAA